CAATGTTACCTATTGGAAGGGTTATACAATTAAAAAAAAAAAAAAAAAAACAACAAATCAAAAACCAAAACAAACAAAAAAAACAAGCAGCCAAAACCCGAGGCTCTAAATTAGAGAATACACATAAAAATGTTGGCCAGAGGCTTCTGTTTTGTATATTCCTATCTCCCCCTCCCTCTCTCTCTTTCCTCTCCAATACTAGTGCTGTATTGAGTTGGAAATGTATAAATGTTACATGTAAGATGCAGCCTTACTGTTGCATCTTTATTCAACATCAACTTCCAGATGGGAACTATTTTTCATGGTTCATAAAGCCAAATCCAGCTGCTACATTTGGACCTACATAAGGAATCCACATTTTATTGCCTTAGCAGTGCATATAAAACAATTGCTGTTGTTTCTTTAGTACTGGTGCACCTCACATTTCTCAATACATTTTAGATATTTAAATTTTTAAAACTGTATTTTATCGTTGCTCATTTAGCTGTGCACCGTAACGAGATCCTGCTTTTACAACATTTTCCAGATATCTAACATAACTGAAAGAAAAACGATCTTGGACAAATGGTATTCAATATAGCAGCCATATATTCAGTTACTTACTAAGAGTGTTCAGACAATTTCCTATGTAAACCACAATGATATTAAATACTTCTGGAATCTCAGCTTTATTAAGAGACAGGAAGTGCAAACTCAGGAGCCTTTCCCCTCCCCCTCAGCTAATCTGACTCTTTGATAGTCATGTGTTAGGAATAACCATGGAGTTTCTCCTAACGCAAAATATTCCCACAGCTAAGAGAAAATTAACCCTTGCGCAACCTCAAAAGAGAGTGGAGCCCATGTGTTCACCGAGAGAAAAAAATAATCACAAGGAGGAAGTTTATACCAGCAGCAGGTCTACACAACACTGCCGGCTATTATACGCAGGCATAATTCATTTGCATTTTAGATGGTATTGTCAAAGCAACTACAGCACATCCATTGCGGAGGAGAATTATCCAGCCTGGCAAAATTAGCCATCTTTGTGCCTCTCTCGCTCGGCATAGAGGGGAAGTGCTGGGCATGTGTGCTGGGGATTTTTCTCCTCCACTCCCAACTAGCAGATGTCAGGCTGTTTGCTAGAAAGCAAACAAATCCCCACAAAAAGCACCGAGGTGGGACAGAGAGAGTTAACGCGCGAGTATGACAGGGAAGCAAGTTTGCTGTGAATTGGGAAGCACAAACTATAGTAATCCCCACCCTGCTGAGTGGCTTCCCCAGAGGTCTGATACAGTGCCAAAGCCTCTTACGCATACTGAGACAAAGCTTATTTCAAGCCGAATTCAGCTCCTGAAGCCACCATACTGCTTCCTGACAGCCTCCAATTGCACTGCCTCTGTATTTGTGTTTCCTGCTGTTTATATTTACTTGTTCCCAGAGCCACAACAGCTACAAAAACAAATAGTTGCTATTTGCGGGGCTCTGTATCAACACAGGTAAAGTGCTTCGCTTCCCTTTTAGTTTTACAAAGATTGTGCAAATAGGCTTTTAATACCTCAGAGAGATTAATTTGGTAATTATAAACCAGTTTAGGAACACATGCTAAACAATTGGTCATATAATCAGCATCCTTGTTTCAGAGTATTAGTGCGGCTGAGGCAAAAGGTTTTTAAACTATAAGGGTTCCACAAACACTCCCTCGATAAAATCGCTATTATTTCCCCATTCCTCTGAGACACAAGCTTGAAATATTACTTTTTTGTTTGTGAAGTCCCTGTGGATACTCTCTGGATCTGTGCTCCTGTCTCTTTGGCCTCTGTACAGCTATTGTGATGGTGTCTGATTTGGGTAATGGAGACCTTGTTTGATATACTTATTTAAAGGATCAGCTTAAGGAAGCCTAAGAGCCATCAATTCTCTTAATTAACTGCAGAGAAATGATTAATGCTAAAAGTATGGAATTGATCAGGAAAAAATTATAGTGCATAGGATTTAATATGTGTCGTTCAATCAATATTTAAGACATTAAATATGATAAATCTGATCCTTGGTAAAATGTTCATAACTACCCAAGTGATTTATGCACCTCAGAAATTCCCACTGCAAGAGAGAGGGGCTGTTAGGCTTCTAACTGGAGTTGGGCAATGCTTTTCAGGTAGAAAAAGCTGCCATTTCAAAATAAAAAACTCCTCAAGGAATGGGTCGGTTTCAGCAGTGCTGCACTTTTTAAACCAAACAGAGCAGAAAAGTTTCAAAGCATTTTTTTCTGGCCTGGTTTGAAAAGACCATTATCATTTCAAAACAGTTCCATTTAAAATTCATTTTGTTTCGTGCACACTGATGTCATCTTAAATAATGCAGAAGTTTCATTTATAGGGAAATTTTTAAAAATACAAATTATTTTGATGCAGGCCAGAAGATGGGCCTCCAAGCCTTTCCTTTCAGAAGCAGCCATGCAAAATGTTCCCCTCTGCTGAAAAAGAAGTAAAGCATAAAAAAAATATCAACCAGGGGGCAATTATGTCTGTTGTCATTCCACCAATTCTCCTCTGTTGAAAACTGGACACCAGCAGCAGTGTGGTCTAGAAAACCCCCAGAACCTCAGGCACGCTGCCGATATTGCCTCTGCGCCTCCTAAAATATCTGTCTGCTTTTTGATTTCTTGGCTGTCAATAGAAATGCAGCATGGGCGTAAGTGGAGAGCAGCTAACCTGCACACCCAGCTTTGGTGATCCCCACTTGTCACCTGAAACCACATCTGAAGAGCTTCGTGGTGTGGCAGCAAGAGGTGGGTGCCCTTCCTGATGTGCTGTGGTCACTTCATCACCGAGTAAAAATTCTTTTGTTTGCATTTTCTGTGGTGGCTTGCATGATGCACAGGGGCTGTGAGAGATGGGGAGGGGGGCAGGTGGAGGGAGGGGAGGAGCTGGCATGACAGGACACAGCCACAGATTAAGGATTGCTGGTAGAAGTTATTGGAGCTGTCCCAACATCCTTCACTGTCTGTCACACCATGAATTGAATTTAAAGCTGAGGCAACAAATCCAGTGACATGGTAATGCCACTGACTTTTATACCTATCTAGAAATCGGTACTTTTAGAGCTCGAGCATGTAGCATCAGAAAAGACAGCAGTTTGGGGTGGTTTTTTTTGCTTTTTATAATAGCTAGCCGTACAAACTTTCCCCTCCCTCCTTTCCTTCAGTCCCTGAGGATGAGAGTTATGGAAATAACCTCTCCTGAGACCATTTCCCAAGAACTCTGTGCCTTGGTCCACAAGAAATGCAATGCCAGATCCACCCACATCCGACAAGTAAGACATCCTGGAGAACAGTTTTTGGAGGGGATGTTGGAGAGACAGGAACGTCACTGCATTCATGTACGGAGCGTGGAGCCGCACATGGAGGGCAAACCTCCGTCCCCAGGGAAGCTGCCTGAACTTTGCTCGATCTCAGCTCTTTTCTTGCTTTTCCCTCAGGATTGCTCACCACCCAGCACAAGCTGTGTCAGAGAGCAGCCTCCCTCTGAGCAGCCACACATAGCTCTGTGGCTCTCAGAGCCTGTCCATGTCTGCACCCACTGCTGCAGCCTCAGCGTGGGCAGAGAGTACAGAGGAGCCACCAGAAAAGACCACCGCTTGGTTGGCTCTGGGATGGAGGCACAACAGGCTGAGCCTCTGCCTCTGCCCGGGGCTGCAACCCACAGGTAGAAGGGACCACAGTGGTGACAACAGCTTCAGAGACACAGGCACCCCACACTAACAGGCATGAAGTGAAAATAAGGGAATCAGAGAAATGTTCCAGTCTCAGCCTGTAATGTGATAGATCTCCCCAGAGCTTGGGGGAGGCATATGTGTTAGCTGGTGGCATGAGCCACAGATGGATTAGACACAAAAGAGAGGGCTCAGAAGAGGGAAGTGGGTGAGCACACAAGGGAAGCTACAAACCATCGGCTCACCTGAGCTCCTAGCTGGGGCACATGATGATTGGAAATGGATGGCGTGTTAGATTGTACCACAAGCTAGACGTTGCAGAGGGGGAAGTTGTATCATGAAACACTCAAAATCCATCTAAACTCCATGCTTAAATGGCCTGAATACAAGCACCTAAGAGAGCAAGACTATCTTCAAAAAACTACAGAATGAAGGCTCCTGGGGCTCAGTGACGTCTCAGCAGCCAATACACTCTAAGAAGAAAGCCATCCATTAGGGACTGTTCTCCATCAGTGTGTCCCTGTCTCTGTGACCTCCACACTGTGGGAGAGGGGACAAGCAACAGCAGTGAGGTACCTCAGAGGCAGCAGTACGATGCATTTCAGTGGCCCCTGAAAATCGAGGTGCTCAAGATTTGATTTTTCCATTGGATCCTCAGGCTTGTTATAATTTCAGGGATGAGACCAATTTAATTTTTATAGAGATGTGTAATCCGCCATTTCAACACACTAATTGAAATAGGCTGACATGCAGCTATGTGCCCTACGAGTCTTCCAAAGCACATATCTTGGCACTTTCCACTAGAGGCTAAATGACATGACTAGAAACCGTACCAGATCCTCTGTGTTTACAGGGCTCTGCTTCTACATTATTATTTTGATTGCTGGCTTTACCAACAAACATCCAAGCGGCAGAATCCACTTGGAGAAAATAACAGAAAGCAGAACTGAAAAAGATTTTGAGAGGTCAAAAATCAACTATACCTATGCTATTTTTGACAGACATTTATTTAACTCATTTTAAAGTCTTTTAGCAGAGGAAATGCACACATTTTCCCAATGCAATCTGATCTTTAATTGTTCTTGTTCTTTAATTATTACTTGGCTAACCTACATTTTTTCTTGGAGTAATTTAAGTCTATATTTTCTTAGCAATTCAGATAAAGAGTGTTAAACAATTAATTTCTTACCTCTCTGCAGCAACTTTTTACGTGTTTGTTGTACACTGCACACAGCTCCCATCCTTCCGATTTCCCTGTTGGCTGTTCTGACCACTTGGCTCAGGATTCTCTCCTTTGCTCCACGTCCTTTTCGGAAAGTAAAGCCCAAAGCTTTCCCAAGCTGAGCACGCCAGAATGACACATACACCTGCCTTCCAGGTTATGGTAATTAAAAAAAAAAATTAAAAAATTGTAGTAATACATTTTTCTTTTTCACAGCATCCTTTTGTTAAAAGCTGAAGTACAAATTGAACCCATCATAACTTCTCGATTATTTTCTTTAGAATCAAATATTTTTCTCTCCATTCTGCATTTCTGCAGATGACTTTTCCTCTGTATATACAGTAAGTACCTTTTACTTTCTCTCCCTGATGAATAACTTTTTTTCCAATCATTTCTCCAATCTGATTTCCAGTTCCACCCTCCAACATACCTGCAGCTTTCCCAGGCTCACATTCTTTGTGGATGTAATGAGCATGATCGGTTCTCTCACCCAGGGCACTACTGACACTAATCCGTGAGACCAGCCTGCAGCACAGGACCCTGCTGGCTACAGGTTTCAATTTGATCAGTGTCTCATTGATAACTGATCTCCAAATATGGTTTTCCAACTGGGAAAACTTTCATCTTAAGACAAGTTTAATTAAGACTATGTTTCTTTAGCTTTGCATAGGAGCATATAAGAGAGTTATGAAGAGAGGGAGAGGTTAAACAGGGTCAGAGGTATTTATAATTCTTCCTATAAGGCATTTAATGGCTCTTGATGAGGCATGTGTGAATAGTGAAACAGTTCCAGAAGTCTTACTTGATGCCAAAAGTTATCTGACCGTGCTACTGGACCAGTACAGCTGCTAAGAATATCAAAGTGACTCCCAGTGACATGAAGGTACAGTCTGTACAGATCATACAAAGCCTATTGCAGACCCAAAAACAAATGCAATGAGCTGTGGCAGAGATGTCATCTGTCTAAAACATGGGGGGACAGAAAGCTAGAGATCATACACCAGAACTTACTGACGCTCAGAACTTGCATGGTTCCATTCCAGCTTTTCTACTATTAATAATCTTGCAAACTCCAACTTTACTCCTCAGGATGTGAATGTGTCATGGGTATTGTGACATGAATCTTCATGTGGTTTCCAACACTGCATTCCTCCTATTTCTGTCCCACCTTTCAGGGAAACCCATGGCAGACTAAAATAGAAGTCAAAGTTATTAAAATCTTCAAGATATTTTTACAGAGACTTCGCATTTCATTGGAGCTTCACAACACAACTACTAAAAGCCTGGGTGGATTCACAGCCTTTGCTTAACATTGAGGTATATCTTTTTTAAAAGGAAACTACCTGTCAATCTATGTAGTTAAATATGAGAGAAGACAATAGTTCCATTAGGAAAATTATAAATTATACCTCTCAGAAAGCCAATACTTGATAAACTATTGAGCCTATGTTTAAAGAGTAGAGTCACAAAGATATAAATGAAAACGTATACATTGGGAAATAAATTAGAGTTCAGTAATTAATGTGAATTGTAAAATCTTGTTTTACTCAATGAGAGCAATTACCATTAAAAATTTTGATTATTCACATTTAAAATACTAGCAATCTAACAGGCCTTTAAAACGTCTATTTTTGGTTGCTGGTTTAATTATCTTTTCAGCTGATATAGTAATTCATTTCACAAATTAAAAAAGAAGAGTTGATCCCCAGCCAACAAATTTCAGTTCATTGCTCAAGTTTCCAACTTCACAAAATTCAGATCCCAGTTTCACCTATTGTATTTTTGAGGAGCCAGCCATGAACTTCAGATCCATGTGTTAATTTGATTTCTGTAGGATCATATGACACGGCACTCCCATTCAGGCTGAAAGCCATGTTGGGGGAATTGCTTAAAGTCACAAAGAAAACGAAGACAAGCATCCACCTCAACGCCTTGTTCAGGACATGAACTATATCATTCCAGCTCCTGGTTCATTTTCTTGGCATTTCAAGAGAAGAAAATATTCATTCTCTTCAGAAAGAATCAATATCCCACTTGCTCCCATTTTCCAGCCTTTTATCATACAACCTTTTTGTCTTCCGTTCTATTTTGATCCACCCTTCCATGATGACCTCAATTACCTTGTCTGCTCAGAGGCACAATCACACCTTGTCTCAAGTTCCTCCATTTTTTCAGAATGACACTCTTCTTTCCCAAAATTTATATGATAGTAAGTGCAAGATATTATTGGTTATACCTTGTCAATTTGATATGTGCTAGTACCTGAAAAAAGGTCTCTATGAATTCACAGAAGAGGAGAGAGCAAGTAAAACACTATCTACATAATAGCTCCAAGAATGGAAATAAAGGCCTTATTTTACCATAATGGTCCTTTAACCCTGCTTTCATCCATGATTTTAATTTCATTTGAGTTCTTCGATATATCTTGCATTCCTACACGTCTCTCACACTGTCAAGAAAGCCTTCTTTGCAAAGAGAAGTGCATGCCTGAAACGCTCTTTCCCTCCACTGGGGATCCACCAAAGTACATTCATTACCTTAAATTAAAAGGAAACACTCAAAAATAATGTATTCAGGGACGTGTCTGCAGCAATCCGGGGCGGCAGATTGATTTGAACCCTAATGCGCAATATTTCTATACGTGAGAGATGATATGGTCCAGTGGAGCAAGCAGACTGCTGGAAGCACGAGGCACACGACGTGTCAGCTACGCACGGAGCTCACACTTGTGTCAACAGGAGCTACTTGCACAGAGGGGTGTGCGTAACGTGAACCAGGGCTCACCATCTCTGCCCTCTGCCTCCCACCGCAGAGGGCACGACAGTCTGCACCCCAGAGCGGGCAGGAAGGGGAGAGAAAGGGGAAAGGGGAGATATTCAAACCATCTAAAATGGGAGGAATTAATAAATACCTGTCTGCTAGCGATAGATACCGTGTGATTTACTGAAATAAACATCACTCGCTTTCCTGAAAAACTACGGAGCCGGATGAATCTCAAATGCCAGCGGAATAAAAGCTTCTAGGAGCTGAAGTGAAAGGCATGATAGGGTCAAAAAGAGAGTGAGCGACACCAAAAATTTCTTTTAATTCCAGCAGTTTGCATTTTTGGATTTAGTACTTCATTTCTCCTATCTTCTGTCAGCTAAGAGGGACTCCGCAGTGAGCCATAAAGCGAGGATCAAAACACCTGGCTGCACAGGAGGGCATGTACCATTACAACCAACACCCAGAACGAAAACAGGTTTCCCTGCTCAAAAGTCCAATTGTCCTACAGTCTGTTGCATCAATAGCATAAACAAATGTCTGCAATATCCATCTCTCTTCTGCTTTCAACAAAACGAGGAAAGACCTTTATGAAGCATCTAGGGAGAGAGACAAGGAGGGCAGAGCAGCTTCCCTCTCCCTCCTCTGACTGATGTCACCGTTCCTGTGGCCAAAACATGTTTGTTGCTAAGCAACTATGTATATATTACACTCTTCTGCTTCCATTTGGGATTTAACATATGCATTTTCACTTTCATCTCTGATGCATAGTTACATTTGTTTGCAGTGGGTGCCAGAGTGAATGGAAGCTGTCCAGTATGGGATATGCATAAGAACTGAAAGGCACACACGGTGATTTACCAATGTGCATCATTGTTTCGCAGCACAGTTCAATGGGAAACCTACTGAGTGCCATTCACCAGCAGTTGGGCCAATTTTTTCATTCAGGATTGATGCTGGTTGCTATATAGCAGCTATTGGTTCAAGAAGTGCAGCAGTTCTCAGATGTCACGAGGTAACATAGTGTGCGGATAGTCTGACTAGTAATTATTGCAGATGGATTCTTTCTACGATGATAAAAGAGGTCCGTTCTTTCATCTGGAGTTTTGCGTTTTATGCATAAATCCACTTTTTCCTACACCTCTCCCACTTACTTGGCAGGCAATGAAAAAAATCACCTTTTCCTTTTGAATTGCATGCAGATGACCCAAATCAGTGGCACGCATCGCTCACATTTTTCTATGAATCAAATCTAAAAAGAAATGAAAAAAGGGTAAGGAGAAAAAGAAGGCAGGATGTGAGAGTTCATTTATATTATAAACACTCTGTAACAGGAAAAAAAAATCAGTTTTAAAAACCACATGTCTATTACCCTGTAATGAAATTATAAGAGAATGCTATTAGTCATGTCTGTACGTTTATTCACATTGTGAGTTCAATAATTAAATTAGAAGATCTGACATGGAGTTTACTAAACAAAAATCCACGCTATAACAAAAAAGAAAAAGAACAGGATATTGCTAGCTTCCTTTTGGGTTTAGTATTGTCTCTATTAATAAGCATTAAAGAATAAAACACTGGAGGAATTCTTGCAGTCTAGATGATTTGGGTTTTGTTATGCTTTTCAGTTTAGCTTAATTTCCCACTGGAAGCTTCTCTCTAAGTGCAGGCCTAGGATTATCATTACATAAGGAGGGGAAGAAAAAAGGGGAAAAAAAAAGAAAAATCTTAAGCTCAGTTTGCTACTGGCTTTTCCTACTTTCTCCTCCCTGGAAGCCTGGACAGGAGAGGGAGCACAGAGAGAAGGCAAGGCAACCTTTACTCCAGCCACAGTTGTTACATTACTTTGAGGGAAAACTGAAGGTTTTTTCTTTCCCCTGAAGCTCAAGAAAAATGAGCTTATAAAAAGGAATATTGTATGAAAGCAACTTGTTTGCCCATTCTCGTATGCATTGTTTCAGGGCTATGGCAGTTGAAAGAAAAACTTTGCTCTGGGTGTGCATCAGTACAATGAGTTAGGGTATAGTAACTCTCTCCCATGGACTCCTCTTCCACAGAAGACAGATAATGATAATTCAGCCAGTGTTATTTTATGTGCTAGCCCCTTTCACTCAGTGAATTTTCTGCATCCCAGGTCCATGCCGAGCCTCTGGCTGGAGCACTGATGGCAAATCCATGCCACAGGGGAGCGCCTGTTACGCTGCTGGCGTGGAGAAAACAGGCTGTACTGTAAACAAGAACCAGGGCCAGCAGTTAAAAAACAAAATGCGCTTTATAACAGTGATAATTCAAAAACAACCAACTGCCCTACACCTTTAAACTGTCCCCAGTTAGGAACCAGCTGCTGTTTGAAAGCTGCCTTCGCCCAGGACTCCATGCATTTAGCACTTTCCCGCTAGTCTCGGTGCCACATAGGCAGCTCTTCAGGTAACAGAATTTGTGACACGCAGAGGTTTGCCTTGAGCTAATGCTTGCACAAGTTCGACTTATCGAGAGCCACAGAAATGCCCATGCTCACCCCTGCCTCTGCACGCATGCGCTCTCCAAAATTTGAAATTCACTGTACAGCTGAAGGCCTGACAGCAGCTTCTACATTTAACTTTTGATCTCTGACTATTTTGCCATCCTTCAAAAAAGCTCTGCTTTCCTAATTCACATTCCTGGTGCATTTGAGTCTACCCAATATTAAAAGAGAGTGTGGCTTGGAGGATGGTTTATGATAATATGCACATCTATATTTCTGCCACAGTCTCTAAGAGGATGATCAGGAGTCCATTTACTAAAATAAAATATGTCCTTGATCTCACAAAATATTTTACAGTCTCGAATTTTCTCTAAAAAATAATAAACAAGAAGTAGCTTAAGTCCATGCTGGTATTTTTTAGCCAGCTGAGCAGTGTCTTAGAAAGCAAGTTAAGTTGGCATGCACAGTGGCATGACCAGGTCACAAGACCGCGTCTTGGGTCAGCAGCTGAAGCAGCTCCACTGGGGTGATTCTAGAGACACATCAAATACTACCACCCATGTTTGGTGAACATACCCCTCTTCTCCAAATTTACACGTCACCTACTAATTAAAATACAGCAGTAACATTTAGAGCACTGGTAGAAAGTACTATTTCTTCAACTTAAACGCTCTGCTGAAGAGATGATTTTTCATTGTTTTCCCCCAGCGTCTACATTTGGAGAATATTATGAAAGCTGAAGCTGACACAGATGCACACATTCCAGGGATTCATGCGAAGTCCTGCCACTGCAAGTCCAACTGAGGCGATGAACCTTTGTGGACCTTCCAGGAAGCTTGTGAATTTTGTTGCCAACTTCAAACAGCTCTAAAATATATAAGGAAATGAGATCCCATGGTACTTCTACAAATTCCCATGTCAGACATAAATGACTACCTTTGTCTACTGTTCAACAAAAAAACAAACTTGTATGAATCTTTCCCAAATGTAGAAGTGGTTATACCATTATAGTACTAAATCTGGCAAGAAGTACATGAAGTGTACATATTGAGACCAGTTTAGGCGTTTGGGGAGGGTAGGGGGTGTTGCTGTTATACTGCATTTTTAAATCTCTTTTATCTGCTGTTACCTTCTTTTTAATATATATATCTCTAAGATAGTCACATAAAATCAATAATTACATAGTACTCTAATACCAGTTGTAACTCAGCAGATAAGCAGAATAGAATGCCTTTTGTTGCTTGTGTTTAACTTATAAAAAAATCCAACAATTCATCCTGCCTTTAGGAAAATATTCATGAAGCAAAACTGGCAATAGAAAAAT